ATAGTAAGGAAATGCTCAGCTCCAGCAGCTCCAAGCTTCAGGGGGCCCACCACGTCCATCACCACCTCATCAAGTGGTGCCTTAGCCGTTGCCTCCGAACTAGAGAATGGGAAACGGGTGAACTTGGCTTGCATGCACGTCGGGCAGCCAAGTACCTCATCGGGCTCCCCCTTCACACGTATGCCAGCAACCATCTCATTCTTCAATAGCTGCTGCAAGATGGGCAGGGCCACATGCCCCATGCGCCGATGCAAGGTGAGCCAATCACACTCCCCCGTAGCCGAAGTTGGATTGGAGAATGCCGCGCTCGCAATAGCGCCCCACATACTCTCTCCGTAGTCCTCCTCCGCTGCTGCCTCGGGGTTCTCCTCACCCTTGTGCTGCTCCTTGGCTGCTGCACCTTTATCCTTGTGCTCACACAGCTTGCTGGTCCCTCCAAGATTGCACTTCTTGGACTCCTCCTTAGCGCGACCGTCCGCGCTATCACCGCTACCAGCCGCTTCACCATTGGCGCTGATGCTTGCTGCCACTTGCCTCTCCTTAGGCATAGGGACAGCAGGGATCTGCCACATCTCGTTGTAGACATCCCTGTCCTCATGAAGGTCCCAAAGAATTCGATCGCCAAGCCTTGCGGTGTAGGTCTTGGCTCCCTTCGAGTTCGTGTCCATGCCGGCCTTTGCCAACCGCCGCACGGAAATCAGGTTTGCAGCAAGGCTGGGCACCCAAAGCACGTTCTTGAGGCCCACCATCTTCCCATCAGCACCCTTGAACATGGCCTTGCCCATGCCTTTCACCTCTGCTCGCTGCCCCAAAGCCGATGTGACATGCTTCACCGGTGACGGTTCGAGTTCGGTGAGCAAGTCCGGGCGATGTGTCATGCTATAGGTAGCGCCGTTATCGATCACCCAATAGTCCAGGGGGTATAGGGTGACCTTCCCCACAGCTGCTGGCTCCTCAAAGCCTTCATCCTTCTCTGGACCAGCCGGTACTTGCGTCGACACGAAGTAGAATAGACCCGGGTACCGATCGTCGCTCGGGTCCTTGTCATTATCTCCACTCTTCATGTTCGCGGCTCCACCTCCGCGACCGCCACGGCCTCCACGGCCTCGTCCTCTCCCTCCTCCTGCTCCTCTACCCTCTTGGCCTTGAGCAGGGGTCCAACCATCAGGGAGTTTGAAGCAATCGCGCCACATATGTCCGCTCTTGCCGCAATAGTGACATTCGCCGTCAAATCGTCCGCGACCGCGTCCGTAGCTCTTGTCGTCGCTGCCGTATTCGCCATTCCCGCGGCCTCCACTGAAGTTGCCGCCACCAGATCTTCCTCCCCCTCGTCCTCTGCCTCTTCCTCGGCCATATCCACGGCCGACGCTCGCTGCCCCAGCGCCATCCGCACTCGCCAACTCACGGCGGCGGAAATCCTCTTGAAGGATAGCTCGCTTCACGTCTTCAAGCGAGAGGCGGGGCAAGTCGCGCTTCAGGTTGATGATGAGCGAGGACCATGACTCGGGGAGTAGTGCCAGCAACTTGGTCTTCTTTTGGAGCTCACTATAGTTCAAATCAGCTCCCTCAAGCCGCGTCAACAAGTCGAAGAATTTCTGCACCCCTTCTTCAACCGCTTCATCCTCTTCAATCCGTAACGTCGCCATTTGCCGTTCCAACACCACAGCTACCGCCGCTGTTGCAGGAGCGTGTACACCCTTGAGAGCAGCCCATGCGTTTGGTCCCTTCTCTGGTTCATGCTGGAAATGCTTGATGTGACGGATCTGGTTGCTCCCCAACGCTTGCCCAAGTAGGAGATAGCCTTGTGCGCTCTTCCGCACCCACGGGCTCTTCTCCGGGTCGTTCTCGGGACGCTTCTCCGTTCCTTCCATCACCTCCAGCAGGTCATAATGGTCAAACACGTTCTCCATTCTGAAGGACTATTCAGCAAAGTTATCGCCGTTGAACGTGTCAAGCCCGAACACTCTTGGTGCATCCCTAGAAGGTCCAAGAGTAGGTTGCGCGGGGGCCACGGCTGAATCACGGGCTTGGCCTTGTGCTTGGGCATCTCCATTGCCACCAGCACCTCTGCCACCCCTTTCTTCAGGTCCAGCCATAGTCGCAGCTGCTCCAAGGGGCTCTGATACCACTTGTTATAGTCACATTATGATTCAATGTGCCTAAAACGAAAGATAGAGTGCACAGTCGGATTTCTGCACAGCGGCTTTTAACGTTCATAGCGTTCTGGTCACAGCTTCAAATGACCTGATTCAACTTGGATCTGGAGCGACTTAACGTTGCCTACAATAGACAATTTAGATCGCATGATTTCACCAAGTATTGACGACACAGCGTCGGTTTGAACGAACGTCACTATGGCAGCCACTATAGTCTTAGAACACAAGATAGGAAGAGTTAGCAAGAGTTACGAGTTGGGAATAACTCCCAGCTCCTACAAACCCCAAGAGCCGAGGTACAGTGATGTGGAACAGTGCCACACTGTCCCCAACCACGAAGGGTCTCGAAACTACCCTTCACTAGGGCCTACACCAAGTGAAATGTTACACTACACAAAGTAATGTGTAATGAAACTATGTATGTAATGTTATCTTGAGGTGTACCCTTTTCGCGGGCTTCGCGATCACTTGAATATTGACACCAGGGCTTGGGTTCTTCATCACAAACTCATCCTTGAGTTCTTGATGAGTCTGCTGCACACACCTGCGACACGCCGAACGTTCGACACACGACAAAATAGAAACCGCGCACGGGACACACGACAAAACAGAAACCGCGCGCGAGACACAAATGACCGTGTAACACGCGACTAGCGAAGACTCGCTATTGACTCGACACACACACACTCGACATCATGACCCATCATACACACATTATTATAAGCATGAAATGTATATCATCTCATGCCTCCATGCCACTCCATGCACACACACGCATGCACGCACACGGACAACAAGCCGAGTGCAAACCGTAGGGTTGCACCAACAACAATGAGGTCCGTGGGGTCCATAGCGAGAAAGAGGTCCCTGACTGTGCTAAGAGATTGAGGGAGGCGGGTGACGATGAAGTAGAGGGCGATGTACATGGGGGGGTGGGGTTCTTGTCTAGAACCTTGGTGGGAAGCGCGGCATGGTAGCGAGTGTCACTAGTGCAAAGGTGGGTGAGTAGGTCGTCGACTGTGGCGAAGGCGGACAGCTCGGAAAAAAGGTAGGGCAGTATAAGGCGGCCGAGAGCAGCAGTGGCAGGAAAGGAGTAACTGGCGACTATAGCGTCGTACAGGGCCTTAGCAGTCTTGTGCTGGCCAAAGTGGGCGCGTTCGGCTAACGGTAAGTGGTTACAAACGGCTAGGCGAACAGCAGCGTCACGGGTAAGCCAGTGTGAGCGAGTCGCACTGTCAGCTGTGTCGGGAGGGGCAAGAGGGGCTCCAGACGTGTGGTCAAACAACAAAACGTTTTCTCTAGAGTCGCTCAGTATGTACAGCTGTAAGTCGTCGAGCCATGTATCAAACTGGATCAGACGGCCCTCAGGATCAAAGGTGAGAACACTAAGAGAAGTCATAGCTAGCAGAGCAGAGGAACGTGTTATCAGGGCAGCACGCAGGCAGGGACGACGCAGAGGGCAGGGCAGCGCGCAAGCGCTAGGGAAGTAAGCAGGGAAGAGAGGGGCGGCGCACGGCTAGGGAAGAGCGGCGTGCGGCCAAGGCAGGGCAGGGCGGCGGCCAGGGCAGGGCAGGGGGGCGGCCAGCAGGGCGGCGCATGGGTAGGGCAGGGCGGCGCGGGGGTAGCAGGGCCGCGTACGGGCAGGGCAGGGCGGCTCGGCGGCCAGCAGGGCGGGCGCGGGCAGGGCAGGGCGGCGCGACGGCCAGCAGGGCGGCGCACGGCAGGGGAGGGCGGCGCGCGGGCTGAATAGGGCGGTGCGGCGGCCAGCAGGGCGGCGCGCGGCAGGGACGGGCGGCGCGTGGCAGAGAAGGCGGCGCCCGGGCCGGGTAGGGCAGCACGCGGGTTGCAGAGTGCGGCACGCGGGCTGCAAAGGGCGGCGCGCGGGCTGCAAAGGGCGGCGCGCGCTGCCAGCAGGGCAGCGTGACAGGCAGGGCAGGGCGTGCACGGGGAGGCTCGACACGGGGCAGAGCCAGGCGCACGCGGGCAGCGTGACGCAGGGCAGGCGCGCGCGGGTGGCGTGACGCAGGGCAGGGCGTGCGCGGGGCGGCGCGACGCAAGGCAGGGCGCGCGCGGGCGGCACGATGCGGGGCAGGGCAGGGCGGTGCAACGGGCAGGGCAGAGCAGCGCGCGGCCAGCAGGGCAGCGCGTGGGCAGGGCAGGGCAACGCGAGGCCAGCAGGGCGGTGTGACGGGTGGGGTAGCGCGATACGGGCAGCGAGCTATACGGTGGGCCTTAAAAAAAACGGTCCTAGGATAGGACCTACTCTGAAACCATGTCAGAAGACTAAGCGAGAATGATGCATTGAGAATAGAACTGGGTACAAGTGCTAACCCTATTTGGGTTGTACCCCTTATGGGCTACCCCACTACAGCCTACACAACATAAGCATCAATATAGTTTGACAGGGAGGACAGGCGGGGTAGAGCAGGATGGGGACCAAGCGAGGGAGTGAACGGAGAGAGCGGAATCAGCGTGCAGACGCAAGGAGTTGAGGACTGAGGCAGGTAGATCTAGCAGAGAATATAGAACGGGAGGGACGGCAGAAGATATGAATGCAGGGTATGAACGCAGGGAGGCAAGGACCGGGGCAGACACAAAAGGTACAAGATGTAAATGCAGGGAGTTCAAGAAACAACTGGGGTCTGGAGAATGGTAGTGAGCCAACATGAGTCTGCCACAAAAGAAGGGAAGGAAAGGGAAGGGAGGAGAGGCAAAGGGAAGTGCAGGGAGGATGTCAAGAAGGGAAGGGGAGTGAAGAGAAGCAGTGGGAATAGAAAGGAAGGGGTAGTGCATTGTGAGGGAGTGAAATGGTGCTTTGTGAAGGGGGGAACATGGAGGAGCGACCTAGGGGGGAGGGGAAGTGCGACATGGGGGAAAGGGGAGGTGCGACATGGGGGAAAGGGGAGGAGCGATCTGGGGGGTAGGGGAGGAGCGACCTGGGGGGAAGGGGAGGCGCGACCTGGGGGGAAGGAAAAGGGCGACATGGGGGAAAGCGGAGGTGCGGCCTGGGGGAAAGGGGAGGTGTGACCTGGGGGAAAGGGGATGTGCGACATGGGGGAAAGGGGAGGAGCGATCTGGGGGGTAGGGGAGGAGCGACCTGGGGGGAAGGGGAGGCGCGACCTGGGGGGAAGGAAAAGGGCGACATGGGGGAAAGCGGAGGTGCGGCCTGGGGGAAAGGGGAGGTGCGACATGGGGGAAAGGGGAGGAGCGATCTGGGGGGTAGGGGAGGAGCGACCTGGGGGGAAGGGGAGGCGCGACCTGGGGGGAAGGAAAAGGGCGACATGGGGGAAAGCGGAGGTGCGGCCTGGGGGAAAGGGGAGGTGCGACATGGGGGAAAGGGGAGGAGCGATCTGGGGGGTAGGGGAGGAGCGACCTGGGGGGAAGGGGAGGCGCGACCTGGGGGGAAGGAAAAGGGCGACATGGGGGAAAGCGGAGGTGCGGCCTGGGGGAAAGGGGAGGTGTGACCTGGGGGAAAGGGGATGTGCGACCTGGGGGAAACGGGAGGAGCGACCTGGGGGAAAGGGGAGGTGTGACTTGGGGGAAAAGGGATGTGCGATCTAGGGGAAAGGGGATGTGCGACCTAGGGGAAAGGGGATGTGCGACCTGGGGAAAGGGGAGGTGCGACCTGGGGGAAAGATGGGAGGACAGGGAAAAGGGTTTCGTCTCTCTCTAGGGAAGGGAAGGAGAGTAGGGAAAGGAAAAGGAAAAGGGTGTCGTCCCTGGAGGCGACGAGGAGGCGGCGCGCCGATGAGAGGACGAGGGGGCGAGGCGGCGATTTGGCGGTGATACGCCGATGACGAGGTGAGGCGGCACTGGAGGTCGCACAGCCACGGCGAGAAGCAACACGGAGGTGAGTTTGGCGGATAGGGAATCATATTGTGCTAGGTGGCGGATGTGGCGGCAATGCGCCGATGAGGAGGTGAGGTAGCAGAGGATGTCGCATGGCCAGGGCGCGAAGCAGCAGGAAGGCGAGAGATTGAGCAGGATGATAAACTCGTTCGGGAGGCGGTTGCAAGGTGGCGACTCGGTGATAAGGTAGCGATGATGGGAAAACGATGCGCACGCCATTTATGACTTTGCGAGCTAACCGCGATATAGCCAGCAACATACGACGAGACTTGCTTGTACGTGTGGGGGGGTGAGACTTTACCCTCCAGGATCTAGGGTTGTGGCGATAGGGAATGCACGATTAGTTCTATGTGTAGGGAATGCATGAATAGTTTGCCTTCTCATCACGAGTAGTTGTTTATCACATGGTTCACTTATTCGCTGTCAAAGCATACCGTCGATCCGTGGCGGGTAGTTTTCCCCTGTTTTTGACCGTGATGACATGGTAGACAGCATGAGGCCAGAACTTGTAGGGCATGCCAGCAGCCCCCAACAGAGTCTTAGCCTCCTCGCCAATGGTCCGGTTGGCACGCTCAGCTATGCTGTTTTGCTGCGGTGTTCTAGGGCAGGTCAGGTGGTGTCAGATGCCGTTCCACTGGTGAATTTCGCTCCAAGGAACTCTCCACCATGGTCACTCCTTTGCACCTTCACCAACCGCATCGCTTGCTGCTCCACCATCAGCAACCAATCCTCCTTGATCGCCGCTGCAGGGTCGCTCTTCTTGGACAAAGGGCGAGCCCATGTGAATCTGCTCCATTGATCCACCATGGTGAAGAAGTATAGCACTACCCCAGTCCCCTCCGTCCTTATAGGACCCACCAGGTCATGTGCACCACCTCCAATGGTGCCTTGACTGATCCCTCCACACGTGGAAACGGGAACTGCGCAAACTTGTTTTGCATGCACGCCTCGCAGCTACCATAGTGAGCGTCATCTCCTTGCAGTTGCAGCCCACGCACGCACTTCTCCTTGTGCATCACCTCCAATGTGGAAACAGCCACATGTGCGAGCCGCCAATGCCAAGTCTCCCACGTTGCTTGGCCCAAGGTAGCCGACGCCTTCACCGCCGCGCTTACTCCAATCAGCTCATCTCCTTGCACACCTTGCTGCTCCTCCTCGTTGACGCTCTCCTCCATAGATGTCGCAGCTGCCGCCTTGCCTGATTTCCACCAAGGGAGGACTGGGATCTACCACATGCGCTTGTGGACATCTCCCTTCCGCTGCAGGTCCCAAGTGAGGTGCTCGTTGTTGTAGGCACGATTGCGCTCCGAGACGTTGTAGGAGAACCTTGGCAGCCATGGCGGGGTCTGTTGCGCTTTCATTCACGAAGAACCTGGCCTTCCGTTCCTCAGATTTGCCACATTTCTCCTTATCCTTCTCCTCTCCACTAGCCCCTATGACTCCCCCACTCCTCTTGCAACCATGTTGATTGCTTGATGAAGGCGGGGTCCAATCCTTACGTCATTGGTAGCACTTCCGCCAATGATGCCCGCGCTTCTTGCAGTAGAAGCATACCTCCCCTTGGCCCCGCCGCTCTCCTTGCATCAGTCCTTCACATAACGGAAGGAGGAATGCTTGTATGTGATAAGCTCTGGCTCCCTCACATAACGCACCACTCTACCACTAGTTACATCTCCGCTTGCAATATCTCCTCTTCTCACTACTTGCTTCGTCGGGCGCAAGAATATCGTGTTACAAAGGAAACATACAAGCATTTAGGTTTGTTCTACTAGGTTCCTCCTAATCTACCAGCTCTGCCTCAGCCCTCACCTCGCCCTTCCCTAGTCTCCTCAGCGCCCGCTAGTGCTAGCTTAAAGGAGACGACCACCTATGCTGCCTGCCACCTCTGTTCCCCGCCTCTAGCTACTTTGCCTCCAGCTATCACTTCTCAGATCCAGCTGGCTCCCGGGAACTCACCTGCACACACACGGAAACAAACACACATGCATGTATACACCCATCCAAGTGCCGGTGGCAACCTGCTTCCCTCCCTGCTGCCGCTGCCTAGCGCTGCAATTCCCCTTGCCTCTCTCTTGCCTCTTACGTAAGTGCCGCCCCACACTGCTGTCATGCACTCCCCGACCCTTCGCTTCGGCAGGCATCACCCTTTCCTCCCGCACATGGTCCCGCTGCTTCCCTCAAACGCCCCTTCGATCCTCCACTTCCCATCCTCGGCACTGCGCTGCTCACTATATACAGTATATACAGTTTGTACACTTGCCCATCTCTCCCTACTAACCCATTCACATTCATACAAATGTGACACTTTGTATGGTTATCCTTGTTCTTGCCCTTCCACTTCTTCTTGAAGCCACTCTTTCTACCTCCAACTCCATCGCCGACCCCCTCCTCCGAGCGCTCCACGCTCCGCCGCCGCAAGTCCTCTTCAAGGATGCGCCCGCGGATGTAATCCATGCTCCATTGCAGCTGTTGGGATTTGAGCTTGGTAGCAAGGGCAGACCATGACTCCGGCAGCCGTTTCACGATCTCCACACATTGCACGAGCTTCGGGTACACCATACAGCCGTCTTGGAGCTTCGTGAAAATGTCGTGCATCTCATCCAACACGGATTGCATCGGCTCTCCATCAACAAACTTGATGTCACGCAGTTGTCGCGTGAGTAGCACGATGCTGGTTGTGATTGTCGGTGAGTGCACATCCAAAACCTCCCTCCAAGCCTTGGGGCCACATTCTGGATCACCTAACAGGTCCTTGATGTCGTCAAGTTTTCGTCCCCCAACCGCTTGCACCACGAGCATGTACGCGTCAAATGATCGCTTCATCCACACTCCTTTCAGCTCCGCGGCCTCCGGCATCTTCTCCTTCCCCTCCACCAGATCCAATAGTTTGCATTGGGTGTACATCAGCCTCATGCGGAAGCTCCAATGCTTTTAGTCCTCCCCCATGAACTTCTCAATCGAAAACGCCTTTACAGTATCTATGGTTGTAGGATATGGTGTAGAAGTTGAAGATAGTGTAGGGTTGGCTGGTTGAAGTCCCCACTCCACCACGAACAACTCCCCCTTGCTCTCCAACCTCTCTAGCTCTAGCCATCTCACCATTAGCACCTCCAGAGTCCGTACCAGTCATATTGAGGCCCTATGAACGGTGGAAGCTTGAGAAATTGTTTGGAGAGAATTCTGCAAGAAATTTTGACTCTATGAAAATCGTTGTCGCGGAATGTGAACTTTGAATTAGAATGCGGTTTGACCACCAATCGAAATTGTGCAAGAAGAGCTACTAGAAAATGGTCTCATTTGTCAGCATTGGTTGAGAATCGATGACGATTCGTCGTCTCTAAGTTGACTACCCGCTCTGATACCACTTGTTGTTCAAGATCCGTCACTTAGAAAACTTACGACGAATTCATTTCTCAACTAAACTCAAATCCGCTCAGTAGGATTGTGTGCATTAGGATTAGCTACCATCACCAATTTGAATCACTTAAAAAGATGGTCCAGAGAGTGAGAACAACTTGAAAACGACCAGCAGCCGCATGACTAGAATGGTGGAGGAACTACAAGCATGAAGGCGTAGAATGGTTGGAGTTGGGAACTCTAAGAGAACCATGAGAGGGAAGGGGTTCTCCAAGAGCTAGGGAAGGATGGTAGGAATCTTCCTAACAGCGTGGATGCAACCCTCATCATGAGGTTCTTGAGGTGTCACATGCAAAATCCAATCTAGTCAGATTTTGCCTAGGTGTTGCAACATTTGCAACCCATGCTAGAAACGTCTAGCCACCCCAATCCAAAAGTCAAAGTTGTCTTCCTAACCACCCAACTAAAGATTCCTTTATAGTCATGTCCCAATACTCGCCCAATGTAGACAATAGCTCAAAATGAAATCGAATTCCGAAAGCTTGAAAATCTTGTAGCTTGGGTGATCTTGGTCAGAATAAGGTGATATTGGTATCATTGGAAAGCTCTGGATTTCTCCTACACGATCAAGCATGTAGACTTGGAAAAAACACAGAGATGGTAAAATTCAATAGCCAGGCATAATAACATATGTGCGAAGATAAACTCTACAACGGTGGGAGCTAGACTACAGGGTAGGCATTGGTTATGGGACTGATCGCAGCTCTGTCTGTGTTCTCTAGCACTTGTGCGTTGACACGGCAAAACAACAAAAGTTTCACTAAGGAAAGTTGAGAATACAGAGTTCAAAATGAACAAGCAATGGCAAGAATGACTACATCACATACAAGGTTTGCTAGTGCACAGGCGGCTCGACTGCCAGCTCGACAAAGTTGTCGACCTGCCAACGTAGCGAGTCTGCGGCCCGCCAACGTAGCTCGTGTACAACTTGCCAACGCTGCATAATGGCGGCCTGCCAACGCTGCACCCGCGTGGCTTGCCAACCCTGCACCCGTGCGGCTTGCCAACATTGCGTCCGCAGGTGATTGTAAGCGCATGTGCAAGCACCTACTTCGCAGATTCTTGTAGACAGTTACGCACGACGTGCACTGTCCAGCACATTGCGCATGTGCAAGGTCGGCCACATGCAGACAGTTGCACCTGACTAGCCACGTTGACCACGTGCTGCCACGTTGGTCGACTTTGCCACAGCAACCTCGACGACGTTCGCGACTCTCCGCAGAACCTCGTGGAGCATGTAAGTCGGTCGACCGGGTAAAGTCGCCGGCAACCCAGCAGGACGATGACCTTCGTCATCATAGGTCGACGACCCTCGTCGTCGCGGGTCGACGACCTTCGTCGTCGCAGGTCGACGACCTTCGTCAACCACCTTCGTCGACCACCTCGGTCGACATTCTGAAATTCCGGTTCCTCATTGGTCGAAATTAGGGCACATTCGAATTTCTACCCAAAATTCACCTGTGCATTCGCGAGGGTGCGCAAGATCAGATGCGACCTTGCGCTGATCAAAACCGGCGAACCTCTGCACCAGCTGCGCCACTTGCACATGTGCACGAGACGTATGTGTTGCACTCGCGGGTACCTTGGTTACTCTTGCATGGGTACCCTAATACACCGTGTGTACAGGCAACCCTTCACCCAACTTGCACAGAAGCTCCAGATCTCGCATACTGCAGAGGGTCGGCTGCATCTCCCACACACCCAACCAAGAAGTCTGATTTGCCCAAGCAAGGGCGGGGCCAACTTCCTTCAACAATATATTCATGCAAATGGTGCACGCACAAATAGCACGAGCACTCGGC